GGAGCTCAGCAGACAGTTTAAGTTTCACCTTCAGTTTCAGCCGAGAGCCTGCAGGAGTCATGGACGGAGTGTGTGGGGAGGGGGGGAGGGGGTGCGCTCTGCCATGAGGAAGTTTGGCTTAAAGACACGTCCCAGGGGTGTTTCTGGTACCAAAAGGCATTTCTGGTCCCCACCTGTCGTTTTGCTCCTCAGCATGGCTTCCTAAAAACGCTGCAGGATTTCTCAAACATGCATGAACGAGTCAAAGCAAGGCTTTGGGCATGTTTTTTATGAGATTATAACATTATAACATGAAACTCAAAAAAGTTGATTTTACATGATATTGCCCCTTTAAATCAAAGGCAAACCATCTTTTTTGTTTGTTTGATGCTGATCTTTAGAAATCAGGTCAGCTGATGCTCAAATACACCAACAGTGATCCTCCTACTTCCTAATTAGCCAAGTGCTGTATATACAGGCATGGCCGACTGTCATGATCTCATGATTTAAAGAGATGTTATATAAAATCAACTTATTTGAGCTTTATATCATGTTATGTTATCCCCTCATCAAAAACATACAGAGTGTTGCTTTGACTCATCCATGCATGTTTAAGAATTAAGGAGAATAAAAACAGCTAGTTGGTCCAAGAACCACCTTCTAGGTGCAGCTCCTCCTCTGGGTCTCCAAGCCGAGCTTCCTCATCACAGAGCACACCTCCCCTGTGACTCCTGCAGGATATCAGCAGCAACAACTAGCAAAACAACACYTGAAACTGCCCATCTGTTGAGCTCGTAATACTTCTCAGTCCAGTCCATTTTGAATTTAAAAAATGCCTTTGAGGAAATTCATTTTTGGTTGACAAGAAGACATCTTTTTAAACTTCTCGTAAATGAAACAATTCCACAAAAAAAAAATGGTTGGACTTCGATTTTGAAAGTAGCCCTCCAATGAAAAATAAACCTATTAGTATGAGCCAGCTTTCTGAATAAAAGGGAATTTAACAGGGGAATAATAAGATCATCAGTAAAAGACGATGCCCAGGTGAGCTGTTCAGTTGTTTGGRCTATCTGTGATATCTGTCATATTATGGTCTGTGTTCTTTAGTTAGCTTACACCACATTTTAGTAATAAATAAATTAGTTTAACATTGATGTGTGATATCTTACCAAGCTGAAACGRTGTCTCTGTATTCGCTCCAACATACTTTCTGGGTTCAACGTGACATCATTCAAGTAAGGTTCAATTGTATCCTGAGCTGTTATTTTCCAAAACCAATCATGTATAATGTTGCTGCTTTTTAAAATTATTATTACAACAAAGTAGGCTACAACGCTCCAGGTTGTAAACAGCATGAAGCTGTTGTGATGATGTGCAGAAATAGGAAAGCAGTAGGAGGGTCTTAAAGAGACAGAGGCCAATTTCAAGGTGTTTAGAAATGGCTGTGATGTGAAGTCAGATTTATTTTTGATTTATACATATTGACAGCATTTTAATAACAACTGAAGGTGACATAGTTACTTCATTGTGGTACAGAATTGAACTATATGCCTGAGAAACACCTGCCTGGTAATAATGAACCTTTAAAAAGTCGGACAATAATATTTGGTCTACATGTACTTTGTTCTTTGGTCCTTCTGTTCTTTGGTCAATGACCCACAAGCCCTCAAATGACCCATATTGAGGATGAGTTATTTTGACTCAAGGACAGCAGATGAAATACAATCTTACTTTCCTGTACAAAGCACTGATTGAAAATGAAGTTTGGGTCGTTCTGTTGATCTGTCTTTGTCTAATCCTAAATCAGAGTTCCTTTTTAGTGACGTGTTTTAAAGCCAGCCTAATCAGTGTCTTGACTCCAGCTTGCTTTAAAATCATAACCTTTTCCAACAAAGGGGAAAATAAGATCTGATCCCTGTGTGAGCAGAGTCCATTTGGATTTGGTTAATTTCCAGTCAAAGTGTTCAACCACAAAGTCACTGCCAGCCAGGCCCAAGCCGCACTAACAAGCCTTCAAACCAAACCAGGTTCTCCAGAGGATTATGCCAGGATTTGAGTCAACATCGGATTTGTAGAAGGGATGAGACGTTTATCTTTTCTTTCTCTTCCCCCCCTCAACATTTCTTCCTCCAGCTTTCTTCTGTCTTACATTGTGTGTTTCTTTTTCTCRGCCATTTCCCCCCTTTTCTCTTTCTTTCTTTCTTCTCTCACTTTCTCTTTTAATCACTGAGACAAGTCTTCTGGGCTTTCTGGCATTCGGCTTCAGTGGTGAGGAGAAGAAAAACGGAGGAGAAGGAAGAAGGAGAAGAAGAAAAGCACCGCTGTCAGTTCCTCTCCTCTTGCTCCACAGGACTGGAAGGACAAAAGCTTTCCCTGACAGGCCGAATCGCCCTTATCTCGACTCAGGCGACGTGTCATCACCCTGTGTCTTCACTACAGACTCATGTAGTCCTTTCACTTCCTGTCACAGCCCCGCCCCGGCCTGTAAGAATAACACAATACAGAGAGAAGATGTGTTCAAGAAGAAACAGCAAGGCAGCAGCTTATGCTGTGTGTCATTAGTCTGTGTGGGTTTGATTGGCTTTTATTTTACARGTGAATCAGCGCGTCATGGGAGCAGAATGAGACAAGCACAACTTGCAGTGACTTCAGAGAAGTGGGCAGTCAGCTGTGTGCATCCAGGCAGCTGAGCTTTCCATCAGTGAGATGTGACTATTATGGCTGAAAGACAAGTGCACTCCATAATGTCTAATGAGCTGCTACAGACATCTATTCACCAGGAACACCGCAGGAGACACAACAGATGTTTGATTTACTGTAAATCAAAGCTGAAAAATCAGCAACGAAAGCCACTCCTGCCACTGCTCTCAAAATGACCCACATCCTCTCCTCAAATCAAACATCATTATTTAACCATCAAGGTAACAAGAAATTACATTTACATTTCATCTACAGAAACCTACCGTGAAAAACTACCTTCGTCATCAACATCAGAAATAAAAAAGCACYCTACGCTTCAACGGATGCACTGCATGAGTGAAGGTTAGAGTCAAGCTGTGTTTTAGCTGCTGTAAGTTCCATTTTAAATAATAAAATCACTGCATTCATAAAGTTCTGGAACTAAATCAGTGATGCAGGATTTGTAAGGTGTAATTAGACAATTAAGTGCTTCTTAATTTTCAGTAATAACCTTAAAGCTCTCAAAAACTTGATTTCAAACATCAAAATGATACTTTAGTTTAGAAGTAGTCAAATGTCCAAGTACTGGGGCTGCAGAATTTATTAAACATTTTTTGCTATTGCAATAGTGTGCACATTATTGATGTTGCAAAGTCTTAATGACAATAAATTAATTTGAAGAATCAGATCTACTCTTGATGCCCACACTTAATAAATTAGTGACCACAGCATTGTGATTGTTATGATGACAAAACAATGAGACCTAACCTGGTATTAAAATCCAGCTTTAGCTATCAGAAAACATTAAAAGGTGTGAACAGCCTTAATGCACACGGATAATATTTACACTCAGACCATCTTTGGAGCCCCCCGTGTGGATTTGTTCTGTATAGCTTTTACAGAAACATCAGTATTTGTTGTCACATTGGCCATGTTTCCATCCAATGCTAATGCAAATTTTGAGCAAATTTTTAAAATGTCGGAAAAAGGGGAAAAAGAAAAGACAATACAAATCAGATGTGTTTCCATCAGCTGGCTTGGAGCGAATCAACCAGACTACGCAAAGTGTAATTACATCAAATGTTGATGTTATGCATTGCTGTAGGGACAGAAAGTAAAGTCCTAAAGTCGCAGGGACAAAT